CCCGCATGCAATAGGTCAGTAACTGACCACGCAAACGATACATCGGATTTGAAAATAACGTCTCCGTTCTGAACTTATGTGGCTGCGTATTTATACATGATATTGCAGGATCTTTATTCATGAGATTTAAAATATGTGACTCGCCCTTTAAATGCAATAACTTCTTTAGGTTTTTTTTTAAATATGTTAAAATTATTTCAGATCATTTTAAATTACGCGTAAAATTTACGGATAGTCAAGTCTATTTCAGTCTCATGTCTAAAATTATCATGTCCTGGGAACCTCCATTGGCGGCTAATTTACAAATTTTTATACTGTGTGCAATTCTGTGGAAAGTGCTTCAAAATGGAAAGCTTACGCAATGCATGATGGAAAACATGAAATCTTCAGGTTTTTAGAAGATTTTGGCCGGAAAATCAGAAACAGAGGAGATAAAAGTTATTTGCTCTGAAAAATTCAACCTACCCTGGCTACAGGCTATGTACAACTTAAAAGGTGTTTACCTGTGTGGCTGTGGCGGTATGTACACGTAGTGATGTCAAGTCTCACGCAATGCTTATTTGGCGGCATTTTCCTATTGTTTTTTCTCTTTGATCTTTACAATTTCCCCCATATCTCACGCATTTGCTTCTTGACAGCCCTGTATACGGTAATACCAAAACTTGGCAAAAGGTAGCCCTTTAGTGCATGAGTGACGTCAGTCTTTGGCTTTGAAATTGAATGCTTTAAAGTCAGCTTTAGATAATGTGTACTTAGTTACACACTCTATAAGTAAGTGTTAATTGCGGACACCAATGTAAGTTTTATTCTATATAAGTATTCTTACTCATGATATTACGCACTACACGCCACTAGAGGTAGAGCAGTCCAAACTAGAGTGGAACATTTTCAAGATGAGGGATCTGTATTAGCCATTTGTCTTATTTTGATTCGAAGACAAAGGTACAAAGGTGGTCTTAATTAACTATTTGTATGCGTTGCTTTTCAGATGTGTGACGGATGGAAAGATATCTACGTAGAAAACCAAGTGTGCTAATAGCTTTGACTTTGTTGCAGATGATGAGGGTGGTAAAGGGTTATTTTCGTGCAACGTGATCGCCGTTTTTTATTTTACATTCAACGTGTTTTTACTTTTTTATTTGACGTTCAGTCGTGCAAGACAGGTGCCTCGTTCAACGTGTTCTGCTTATTTAATTTTACGTGCATCGTGATTTTCAAATGCTTATTTTGCGTGCTCGGTATTTTTCAAAAAAAATTCAAACACTTGGCAGGGATCGTCAAGAAATACTTTTTTAAAAGCCGTAAACCATTTATATCATAAATGTGATACTAAATCGGGAATATCAAGTAAAACAGAAAGTTTATATATACAAGAAGACAGTGACTCAGTCACAAAAGGTTCACATCAAAGTCTTTATTTTTCGTGCAACGTTCTTGACAGAAATTATTTCACGTTCAACGTGAAATTATGTCTTATTTCACGTTTTTTCCGTGCAAGCACCCCCCCCCCCCCCCTTTTACCACCCTCGATGATGTTTGTATGGTCAGAATATAAGTATTTTATCTGGTGATGGACAAGGCATGACGCTTGTCAAGTTAGAAGACCATTTTCCATGTTTTTCCCCAAAAACCTAGTTTGTCAAGATCGTTTTGAAAGGTTTTTCTGCCACTATTAGATTTAACAACTAGATATGCATCTGCAAAAAGGCATGTGACAGAGTATAAGCTAACTTGTCAGATATTCATATAGACTTAGACCCAGATTAGGACCTTGGACTCCAGATTTTACACAAATATATCCTGATTTCAAGCCCTCTATATGATCAGGTACAATGTGATAAAAATTCCTGTATCAATGCATTGTGTTTACCCTCAGTGGCATATAGGTTTGGTTTGTGTGTAAGTAGACTATGAATGACTTTATTAAAGGCTCTAGATAGAGAAATCTATTATATATAATAAAACATCTGTTTGTTTAGAGTTTTCATTTTCAAAGTTTTTGTTGACATCGTCTATGAATTTCCGGAGTTGAGTTTCACCAGAAATATTTTTAGGAAGCCTTGAATGAGGAGGGGGAGGGGGGAGGGTGCAGTTATGGTTGTCTGAATGTATCATGATTGCGCTAACTATACAACATGTTATATAATTTTGTGCATGTCAGAAATACTCAATAGGTAGACACTCGTAATTCTCTGGATTGTATTCTGACCCTCTCTTTGAAATCGGGGAGACATGTGCAGTCCGCCAATCACAGTGGGCACTTCGCCAGTGTCTAATGATATATGGTATACAAGGTATTATAATAGACGGGGGTATCTTCGAGAAAGTAAGGCGTCAGTCAACTCATCTAATCCACTTACCTTTGATTGGCTGAATTCAGTTTATAGTTTGGAAATAAAAGATAGGACATGCAAAAGAAACCAGAGATATTCAAAGTTGTAAGTTGAAAACAAACTGACAAAGCCATGGGCAAAAAACGAAAAACGGCGGAAAGACAAACAACAGTACAAAAACACAACATAGAAAACTAAAGACTGAGCAACATGACCCCACCAAAAAAAAAAACGGGTTGATCTCAGGTGCTTCGGAAGGGTAAGCAGATCCAGGAGTCGGTTTCACAAAAAAGACTTACAACTAAGATTGATCGTAAGTCATGAACAATTCAATATTCTTACGATCAATCTTATAGTCGTAAGTTTTTTGGTGAAACCGACTCCTGCTCCTCATGTGGCAACCATTACCCGTGTAAGTGCATGCAAACCCTGTTATAAGTCTAACTCGGTAGGTCACATTCGAGGAAAAGAGGACGGGATTGTGGTCACGGCAATTTATATATATATCCGTCGTCATCTGTAAAATTATGGACAAACTGTTGATGAGACTTAAGAATTCGATACTTTTATTTTCGGGCATGTGTAAGATAGTCAATATGGCTGCTTTGCAAATTAGCAAAGAACTAAACATACTGCTATATGACCCGCACAGCCAAATAGACCCCAAAGTATAAATCTTATCGTGACGGACGCCAAAAAAAATGGATAACAGTATTTCTATTTCTTTTTTGCAGTCCAACCCTTATTTGGGTGCGCCAAACAATAGATGGACGATACTCTTAGTGGTCATAAGGCAATGGAAAACTTGCTGTTTGCTCTACATCCTATGCGCATTTCTGGATTAACCATCAGTTGTATTTCTTACCAAAAGCCGTGAAATATATGAAGGTCTGTATGGAGGTCCTTCAACTCTCTAATTTTAAATTTTTTAAGGCGTTTGTCTCAGTATAAAGAATAGAGAATAATGGGCAAAATATAGAGAATATATTTAGCCCATTATTCTCTATCCTTTATATGTACATCCCTCTGCCTACTTTTCACTTCTTTATTTTTTTATCCTTTTTCTTTAGTATATCCCCATTGTTCTCTATTCTGTAAACCTTATCTAGACGTATTTAGTGATCATTTCTGAAAAATGATTTTTTTTTCTTTCATTTCCGTTGCAAGTAGTATTTTTGTTAAAATCACAAAGACATCAAACGCTGTCACAGAATAAGTAAACAAAACATACAAGTATTACATGTGTACGTAAATATATGGCAGACCAATATTATTGCTTTTAACATTCGGCCCGAGAACACAATTAGTATCCTACGAATATAGTCCCTTTTATGGACGGTGTGTAGCCCCTTGTGTGGACGGTATGTTACATGCAAATTGTTTTCAAGCACCTCCCTAATTTATTGTTTCAGGTTTTATGCATAAAAATAAAAGGAAGAAGCGGGGAGGAGTGAAGTTACACTGTCACTAAATTGGATCATGAATTTTGAGATACAGTAAATATCAGGTCAAGTTGAAAATAGTCATAAATAAATACGTCTGAAGCTGTCAAACGGAATTTAAGACCCTTAACATAAAATTGCCGATATTTTGAGTTAGATCTGAAGAAATTTAATTATACTGTAGTTTGTCACATATAATTTGTTTAAAAAATAGTGCACTACACTGAAAAATTGTAATTACTGAGAAAACGCGTTTGCGATTTTTCAAAATTTGCATATATTGTTCTTAAGATTTGCACTACAAAAATAAGTTAACTGTGTTACATAACTTAAAACTGCAAAGGCAAGACACTTGTAAAAAGCAAATTTATAATAATAATTAATTAATATGATTTGATAAACCGGAATTTGAGAGTCTTATTTCTTTGTCCTTTTGTCATATTTCTGGCGTTTGCGGGTCCCCGTATATAATAGCCTGTTTTTTTTCTTCGAATTATGGATTGAAACGTTTTGCCGGACTACCCGGCATCTTGGTATATTTTTAGAGGGGTGCAGAGAAATTACTAGAGTAGGGCTATTACCAGGGGCGGATCCAGCCATTTTTAAAAGGGGGGTTCCCAACCCAGGATAAAGGGGGGGGGGGGGGGGGGGGTTCCAACTATATGTCTCCATTCAAATGCATTGATCGTCAAGAAAAAAAGGGGGGGGGGGGGTTCCAACCCCCGGAACCCCCCTCTGGATCCGCCACTGATTATTCACATGCTCTTTCACGTTGAATTGAATTGTTACTGAGATTTTCAATAAAATGTGTATATAACAAAGAGCAGTTTTATAAGTTACTTTTAATAAAATAAGTAATTATTTTTTATTACTGATTACGATACAAATAATAAAGCTTACATCATAATGGTTAACCTGACAATTTTTTTCTTCCACAGGGCAACCACAAACACACTTGATAACGCCAATCAAAATATCACACACATATTTAAAGTTCACATTTTTCTTTTTCGCACCTGGGATATGAAGTACCTTGGGTCGCGAAGATAATTATCCAAATAAAGAAGATCTCAAGAGTAAATACCCTTATCAGAACGATTATATAATTAATCTGGTTGAAGTATAATTAATACCAGATTTTTCAGATAACGGTTATCTATGCCAATAAAAAGTTTCATTGACATATTTTATTTTGAATGAAGAGGGGGGAATCCAGGCTGTTCTATCGACTAAACTTATATAAATTGACCTGGTATAGGTATTAAGAAAGTGTATTTCAAATGTCCGGTGGTGTCACGATCACACATTTTTGATACTTAGTTGAAGGAAAATAATTATAATAGTGTTGCACAGATTTAAGTAGCTAATCAAAGGCTTTTTGTACCAATTGTGATGTTTATTGCGTGAGTAATACGTGGGTGTTATAACAGCCGAATAACATCGTCTATCTTCAGTTCATTCAAGTGAATAGAGAAGAAATTGCCGGAGGAATTTTGGAGGAGTTTGTTTGATAATATTTCAGCAGTTTTGCATTTATTGTTAGACGGCTGGGAACAAACTCGGGCCTTGGACATTAGATAATGCGTTTGAATAGGCATTTTTAATAGTGTGTGATTTGTCTTTTTACATCTGGATTAGTAACGGTTGAAGAGTAAAGAAAAGGGGGTATTGCTGCCCCAAGGGAAAGTGAAAATAAGACCATGTATTCGTCTCATAAAATATTATTCCTAAGGAACTGTAGAACTTTATTGCTTAGTTTAATTTTATTAAATGGAATTTTATTATCAACTTCAGAATCGGTAAGTTAAAAAAAAGTGCTGATAAAGGAGTTTTCTTGTCTGCATTAGTCTGTAGTTAACATAATTTTAATTGTCTTATCAGAATATTATATAATCGGTGCATGTTTAAAAGAAAACGCAATATATATACAACACGTTTACATTTGTATGGTACATGTATGTGTTTAAAATTATCTATAGTCCGTTTCCATTTGGGAAAACGACTTGCATGTGTTTAAAGTGAAAACGTCATTTAAGCGATGTTATTTTGTAAAAATGTCAGTCTAAGAACATAATACACGTGCATGTGTATACTGATATTTACATATTACAGACATAAAAAATATGCAACTTATGTATGGATAAAATAGTTTGTCAGTGTACATGTATGTATTTGTATTTTTGTATAATTACAAAAGACAAAAACAAACAAAAAATACTGTATGCATTTACTTCAAACAAGGATTTGTATAGTTAGACTAAACAAATCCTTGCTTGAAAATAAAAAAAGATGAAAATGTTGCATAAGAAGTAATTTGATGCACATTTTGCTTAAGAAAATGTGTACTTATATAAATGAAGAATTTTGTTTGTTGAATATTTCTAAAAATTCTTTGATGAGCACCAGATCCAAAGATTTTTTATGATAAATTATTTGTTATGCAACTGATGATCTGGTGCCTCCCAGATGTTAATTAATGATAACTGTCTTTAGCTCTGTTTTGTGAAAGACTGGTTTCCTGCTGGGGTGATTTATCAGGCTTATCAAGATATTATGATGCTTTGAACAAATATTTTTATTGATAAAATCTTTCACAAACCACCTGTGATAAATTAGTTTTCTTTTACAAATGGATGATATGTTAAAACAGCAGCAAAGCTTTCTTTGCATGTAAAAAGGTAGACAAATTAGAGTTAGGCCATAAAAAAGATATGCTTTGAGATCTTGCCAAACAAATTGGAATTTTTTCAACTTTTTATTTTTTTCAATTTCCAATGTTATGACAAACCTTTTCAAAATTTTTATAGTCAAGTTTATCACAACAAATTGACTCAAATGTTGTCATCTCAAAAGACTTGAAATTTGTGCAATAGACATATACATGATATAATGCATTACATGTATGTGCGTATTATACATGCATGTATATGTATGTCTGCTTCTGGTAAGACAAATCAAAAATTTTGCTTGACCAAAATATTAAGTTGCATGGCAGATCTTAAGTCACATAGAAAAAGAAAAATTGAATAATATAGAAAATCTAAGGATATGGGTATCCATCCATGACACAAAATTAGTATGTGCACATCAAAAAACATGCAAAAAGAAAAGGAACATCATAAATTTGTTTGACATTTTGGTCTGACTATTTATATCAAGACTTGTCAGGCATATTTCGGGACATTTGCACATACATGTATTATTTAGTCTACAATATTGGAATATAAATGCTATTTCTTAAATTTTTTTTGCAGTAAAATGTTTAAAAAGTAGACAAAATTTCTTCCTACAGTGTAATATTATGTAAATATTGGATTAACTGAAAAGACGATTTATATGCAAAATTATTTTCTCCTAAAAAATATTCAAAATGAGAATCAAACATGGATAGAAGATTTGAATGTTATGTAAGAAATATTCTACCTAAGCATTTATGACAGAAATATTAAATTATTCACAGATTTACTGATAGAAATTTATTGAAGTCAGAAGTTAAATATATCAGATGAAAATTAGGAGGTCATTTTACAGATCTTTATGCTCAGGTTGATCTATTCATCTGGATTACGCCAACAACTATATATGAAATGATTTTACAATGAGAGTATCTGACAAACAGGACATTCCTACAGGCAACTACCGGTGAAACAGATTTGTCTTCATGTATCCAGGCTATGATATTAACTGACCTGTGTATTTTACATATCTATATGCATGTTCACATTGTACAACATTTTTGTACACTGTACACATGTACATTTTAGATGTACATAAAATTTTGTTAAAAGTTACATTATGTAAACTTTTCATCTGACAATGAGATTATGTCTGAGAATATAAGTTTAAGTTTCACTTCTGTTTTTTTAATTCTGGTTGTTGCTGTTTGGGGTATGGAGGGGGGCTATAAGAGGCATTTTTATTTGGACGATTTTAAGCAAAAAAATATTATTTTTTTCCGATAAAAGGCTTGACGTCTACGTCCCATACCCTTGATGACCTCTGAATTTGCCACTGATTGTGGTTATAGGGCAAACAATATGTGACTAACTATATACATGTGTATATATATATAGCTAAAGAAAGTCAGAGGTTGGAAGACGATCAGATACCACCGTACATGTAGTTCATGTGGATTTTCTTTGCTCTTATGTACATTTGTGTACAAATCAATATTCATAACAATTTCATAAAACTGAATTTTATGTATACATTGTATATATATACAAAAAAAATGCAGTAAGAATTTAGCATTGCAAAGTATATGTGATGTACAACTGAACATTGTACACATGTACGTGTACTAAAATATGTAGATATCAATATATAGTGTCCGGGAGGGAAATATTCAGGCATTATATGTATGTACAAATGTAATGCCATATGAAACTAAAGTTAATTCTGCTAACATACATGTACATGTAAGATTTATAAAATCAGGGGGAAGCAACTCATTAACAGATACTTATGACTAAGTAGAAAATTATTTGTATTCGTTAGCTGCGGTAACTTAAACAAAGTAATCAAAGATGTTTCAGAGGAAGTTGGCAGTTATTGCAATTGACATTTCATGGTAGAAAATAGTTATAATATACCTCATACATGTACATGTACTAATAATACAATTCATTTTTGTGGTGATTATTGAAAATGACCTAAATTTATAATACATGTACATGGAATTTTAATTGATAGATTTTTGGTTGCTGAATATCCCACATAAACATGTATATATTATTTAAAACATATACCTGGATATGACTATGAGAGGAGTACATGTACAAAATGTACTATAATTGCTTACATCCACTTCATTTGAACTTTGGTGGGTAGTTGTCTCATACCACATCTCCTTATTTTTATACAAGGGAGAAAGCTGAAGGAAGGCCTTAATTTAGCCTATGTCATATTTCAAACCCATACTTTCTAAAATAAGTAAAATGTAATTTTGAATAATTATATCAAGCATTTTTTTTTCACTTTAGACAGTGTGCAATATCAGTTTTATGTACAAATTCTTTCTGGTTATTGGACTAAATTTGCTGATTTAATGCATTTTAATATTCTCAAATCAGCCTGAAATTTAAAGGAATTGTATTCTTAGTAATTTTGTGTGTAGATAATAGTAGGTTATCGCTGAACTACTTAAATACTAAAAATTGTTTTGCCCTGTAATCACAATTATATTGCCATAAAATGGATAATTGCTCAAATTTCATTTTATCTAGTAAATATCCTCAGGTGTTCATGTTAAAAGTGAAATGTAGGTTAATAGTACCCTTTTAACTTTTGAGTTTCTGTAAAGCACCGAAAACTGTCTGGGTTTTTAGTACAATTAATAAAGGCATACATAGGTAGTGTGCCATTTAAAAAAAAATAGTTAACTTTTGATCCAAATATTTACCTTATCAAGTATATATATGGTCCATTATTCTATTGCTTTAAGCTGTGATTTTATCTCTGGAGATTTTTCTACTTAATTTCATTGCTATATGATAAGAAAACTAATATACTGATCAATTTTGCTGATTCCGAGTAAAGCTTTTTAAATACTTTATTGAAATTGACTTTAATGTACATATTAGTTAAGGTTAGTACATTGTACCAGTCACTATAGAATTTGAACTGTTATAGGCTGACTGCATCATTAGTTTTACTACATCTACAAAAAAAAAAATACTCTGTTGAAAGTCTTAATTTTTAATTTATGTATTTACATTTTGTAGCAAGTTGATAAAAGTCCAAAATGTTTCAATATATCATGTACATTCTTGTAGTCTACATGCATCTGTACAAGATATTTTCAAAAATAAATTTGTGTTTTTTCTACTCTTTTTTTTTCAACTTAAGAAGTCTTTTAGATGTATTTTAGTACCAATTACAGATAATTTGTACATGTAGTTCTTGACCTTGCTTATTTTGCCATAGACTGACTATACATTTAATAAGCAGCTGTATATTGATTCCAAGTCTCTATGCATGTACATGTATGGTCCATTATGCCGCATTTTGTTTATTTGTGTACAAATTTGTTTAGCTCAGCTAGAGTCTGCAAAAGACTTTGGACTGACCATCAAAACCAGTAAAACTCTTGTTGGTCCAGTTAAACATAAATTTTTACTAGTCCAAATACATATATCTGATTAATGAGGTACAAGAATTTTGAAAAAATCTCTTGAAGTGACAAAGGAGTAGGTTTGGTAAGGGCCCCGATTATTAAGTTCAATGTTTCAGGATAAAAAATGTTTTAAGTTGATGAAAAGACATGTGAGGATGTTAAATAGAACTATTTTTGTCAAAGTTATATTCTGAAGCGTTGATTTTTACATCCCAAATAGGTCAAAAACAGTGATTTTTGCAAAATTTGACAAAATTGTACTGATTTTAACCAAATTAATGCCTAGAAAACATAGAGCGCAGGCGTTGACAAATTAAATATTTTTGTCAGATATGTAAAATGCTGTACCAAAGATTTTGCTAAAAGATATTTTTTGTCGACGTCTGCGCTCTATGTTCATGATGTTTCCTATCAAAGAAATCAATGGAAATTTATCCATTTTCAATGAATTTTTGTCGAAAATCAAACTGAGTGATATTTGTGACGTCATGAACAGAGTGCAAGTAATTTAAAAAAAAAAATTATATTTACGATATTGTCATTGTATTACCTATGATTCATTTTTGTATTGGTCAATTAATCCTAATTTCAAATTCTAACCAGAAATACATGTGTAGGGGCCATTTTAGGACCTTATCGAAACTACTCCTTTTTAGCACAAAGTCAATCAAGTTTTGACTTCTG